GAGGGCATTTGCCCCAGTTAGTTATAAGCAGTCTGTGCTGGATGTGATTTAGCTGATGCTATTAGCCCCGGGAGAGACCCGGAGGGCTCTCGTCTAGGAAATGCTCCATGAGAATCCCTCCATGCTCAGAGGCAGCATATGCAGGCCTGCATGTCGGCAGGGTTTTGTTTGTTTGTTTGTTTTAAAGAAAGGCTTTTTAAGCAGAGTTAAAATGCATTCACACCAGAGCAGCTTTAGTGGGTACGCACAGCGAGAGAAGCACTCAGTCTAGCAGGCAAGCACACACCAAACCGCAGCGTGCCTTTTGTAACATCACCCGGGCAGGCTCAGAGGCTGTTTGTTTTTCCCCTTTGTCTTAAAACACAATTTGGCAGCCCTCAGTGGCCAATCCATCCCCTGGAGTGTGCAGCTCCCTGCCCAGGAGAAGCAGCAGCCGCCCTTACAAAGACCTCAGATGGTCTTTTAATTCGGCAGCGATTTAATTGCAGCTCTTGCTCCAGGACAGTTTCAAAGAAGACAGCTCAAGGGTCCTGACAACAAAGCGCTTTGGAGCAGGCGTTTTGACAGTAAACTGTTCTCACCATTGTTCAGGCTCCCCCTTTCCGAAGGCAATGACTCAACTCCACCAGGACTGGCGGGGAGCCTCCAGCTTCTCCAAAACTGGGTAATCAGATTACGGGAGCGACTCGCAAGGCTTTTGCTCTTTGCTGCAAAAGAAACCCCTGCGCTGTAAGAACTTTGTGTGCCTCTTTGGGGCCTTCTGATTAAGGGCATCTCTTGAGGGGTGGGTTGGAGCCCATCTGGTAGGAAGCCTGGGGTATCTCGGGTGAAAAAAAAAATACAGAAGGACAAAATACGAATCCAAGAGGAATGCGTACAATTTTAAACCCCTCTTGGAAAAGTTATTCTCTTCAGATACCAAGTAATGCTAAGTGAAAGGCAAAAAGCTTGCGTTTTACCATTTTATGGTGGCTCTGAAAGCAGAGAAGAAATAACACATCATATGTTTGCTCTTAGCAAATATACAGATTGCAATATCTAAGAATGTGTTTGCTCCAAGCTGTTTACAGAGTCAGAAATTATTTTCAGTGAGAAAATCCGTGTGTGGTATTTAATCCGTAAAGACTTAGGTTAGGATGTGCCTCCTCTCTGAGAGTAGAGGACACTTCTTTGCAGCTTTCATTCCTCCTTGCAGAGACGACAGTCCAACAATGGGACGTGGTCCTAGAGAGGCATCAAAATTTGCCTCTACTCATGCAGTAATGGTTGACAAGGGAAAAGTAGGAAGGAGGAAAAACATATGCAAACCCCTCGAGTCCATAAGTAAATTTAAAAGATTGTACTGACGAGGACTCCCAGGCTTGTCAAAGTGAAGGCTGCCCCTCCCCTGCATCAACGCTGCCCATTCCCTCGAAAAGTCCAGCCTTATGGCTCCCACCTGTATTTATGCGGAGATTTATTAGCTGCAGTTATACAACACGAACTTCAGGATTAATCTCCTCGGGATATTTATTTTAATTAGAAACAAACTGTTTGGGAAACACAAAACATATTTCCCTCTACATTTCCCTCCATCTAATTTCAGAAGAGCAATTCTATAGGATACAAACAGTCCTAGGCACCACACAGCGTATTAGACAACATTTAAACCTCACACTCAGCAGTACAGCCTTAACTCTAGTAAAGCAGAGCAGGAATAAGTTCACATTTACAAAATGTAACTGAGTTACACGGAGGCTTCCAAGAAGGACTTAGATGGGAATTAACTTGAGTTTAAAAGGTAGAGAAGTAAAAAAGCAAGTACACAAATCAAAGTACACAGTTCTTCACAGTTATCTCAGAGGTGATGGGAATGGTGGTTGAAGAAAAATCAGCTGCAGAAAACAGCTGCTCACTAGGTGGAAAACGCCAAAATATCCAGTTTCAGCATCTGAAGGTTACACAGGGGGAGAACTACTCTACCAGGATCGTATCAACACTTTCTTGGATGAGATCTGACTCCAGGATACATTCATCCAAGTGGTCTTGGGATAAACTGGAGTTCTTCCCCACGCTCTCGCTGTCACAGTAGGGATGAAACCTGGGGGTCACGGGGCTCTCCAGCCGCTGGCAGCGGCTGTATTTGTGCTGTTTCCCTCTGTGCGTGTACATGTGTTCGAGCAGCTGGCTCTTCCGGAAAAATGTGCGGCCGCAGACACTGCAACTGATTTTTCTCTTTCTTGAGAAAGAAAAGTTACAGTTCAACTCCACTGGTTCATGGTCCTTTGAGATGAGAGACAGCTGGCTGATCTGCAGAGGCTCCAGGTCGCTGCAGCTCGGATGGTCCAGCTGATGCTCGTCCTCCTTGAGGAGGAAGGTCCCAAGCCGGTGGCCATCCCCAGCCTCCCTGTCCTCAGCCAGAGGCTGCACCTCCCCCAGGTCGCTGCTCTCCAGGATGGAGGCCGGCACGCCGAACGGCAGCGAGCCCGAGACGTGGGTGTGCAAGTGCTGCCGCAGCCCCCCCCGGGAGTCGAAACGCTCCCCGCAGTAGTGACACAAGTGCACCTGGAGGCTGGCCTTCGCAAAGATGGAGCTCGCTACCTCCGGAGAAGGAGGGGTGCAGCTCTGGGACACCACAGGCTCCGAGTCGCACCTCTCCTGCTTTATGGAGACCGAGAGCTTCTTTTTTTTTGCGGACGCGTTTCTGCCGGCTTGGTGAGAGCAGCGGGCTGAGCAGAGGGGCGAGCGACCTGCTGGTCCAGGGAGCTGTCGTCCAGGCCGATGGCCAGAGAGAGCTGCAGCTGCGGGTGATCGCCTGGGACAGCAGACCTGCTGCCTGCCTTGGGCAGATTCTCCTTCGCTCCCAGGCGTTCCTTCGCCAGTTTGTGCGTGGTCGAGATCTGGATCCCATACAAGTTTGAAGACTGGACCAGCTCTGGGGAAAACACTTGGTTCATCTCGATTGCGATATGGGAGAGGTGGTCTGCATGGAGAAAGCGGATGCCCTCCTCCAGTCGGCTCTGGCTGACGGTCTGCTTTGGCCCTTTCCCCGTGTACATGATATGTAACAAGTAACTAAATATGTCCGGCTGGATGTCTGTAGGCTGAATCTTTATGCATTCGCTGAAACAAGACAGATGATTAACTACATACAGGGCTCCAAATTACAGTACTGATCCATTACCTGCCCCTTCGCTTGCACTGCCATTTGCTGCGTGCACTGCTGCCTGCCTCCCGGTTCGCGACCAGCACTCCCCGCCAAGACCTGCCAAAGTGCACATGCCCTGTTTGTACACCAAAATGCCCGAGTCTGTATTTATCCCTGTGAAGATGAAGACCGTGCGCACAACCGCAGCCAGGGACGGTGAGAGCGGCCAGCTCCCAGTCACCCCGTCACCTGCACGATGCCATGCCAGCTACACATCACCAGTGTGTGCCACTCCAATAATACAAGGCAAAGAATATTTGTGTGTTTAAGTAATAAATTCAGCTGCCGCCACTGTGTAATCTTTACGAGCTTTGCACTTAAGTGTCAGTAAACAACATCTATCGGAAAGGAAGTTAACTGATCTTCTCGCTCCCAGCCGAAGGAATACGTGGCTGATGGCTAATGATTATCTCGCAAATATGCTGGGGGCCACGACCCTCAAAAAGGAAGGGGAATGGAGAAGGGTTTAATCGACTACAAGCAGAAAGCTCCAGGTCAGAGGCGAGATTAGACCTTGGCACCGCTGTCGTTATACCTGCAGAACCACTCCTGACCCGGCCAGGCGAAGCATCTGAACAGCAGCTTGAAATAAATCGGTGACCTCAGTCTTGGCCCTTATCTGCAAGAGTCTGAAGCGCAGAACTGTGATAAGGCTATGGCTTCTCGATTGCTTCAAGCCCGTGGGTCCTGCCAGAAGGGACAGTCCCACCCAGCAAGCTTGCCTACAAGCTAATGCAAAGTAATGGATATGCTGTGGATGGGCAGGAGGTACCTGGACATCCCTAGGGTGCAAATCTGACAGGTACTCACTGCAGGAGGACCGTGGTACTTACATGTTTATTTTCTCTGGTCACACAAATGTCTCATGTCCAAAACGTGGGGCCTGATGTTGGTGTATGCTGACTAAGAGAGTGGTTTTAAAGGACAGCACATCCTGGACTGGGAATGTTTAGAGAGCCAGCGTGCTGGGTTAGGAAAATAATCTCAGGCCATTTAACATCCCCACTTACGCTCTTTTACACTTTAACACGTTTAGAAAGGGGAAAAGGCAGAAAGCTGAGCAGAGCGCTTAAAAGGTAGGAGGAAAGCTGTGTGCCCTTACCTCGTCTGATGAATAAATATCATCTTAAAATAGTTTGAAAAGGCAGCGAGCACCGCTCTGTGGGCTTTGAAGTAAACATCTCCAATGGCAACTGTGCAGTCACACAGAAAGCCGAACTCCCGCTGCATGTTCAGCTGCTGGAGGAGGAGGACGCTGTGGCCGGTCGTATCCATGGCGTGCCTGAGAGCAAGGGAACAAGATGTTCATCTCATGAAGGAATGACAGAGCTCCCCAAGGCTCAAATGTGGGTTTCTCACCACCGAAACGAGACGGGCACCCGGCAGGGAGCACGGCCTAGCAGAGCC